GGGGGCGGCCCCGAGGGCCCCCGGGGCTGGTCCCGGAGTCCCCAAGCACGACTGGCACCGGTACCCATCCGGGAACCCCGGACATGGTGAATCACCGTGAGGGTCCGGGAGAACCCGTGCCGGTCCGAGAGTGCCGCCCGGTGCGGTTTTGGGAGCCCTGGAGAGTCCCGGTGAGTCCCGGTGCCGAGACTTGGCGAGTTCCGGTGCCGGGCTGGGAGCCCTGAACCCTGGTGAGTCCCAATGAGTCCCGGTGCTGGTCTGGCAGCCCTGAGCCCTGGTGAGTCCCAGTGAGTCCCGGTGCCGAGCCCTGGTGAGTCCCGGTGCCAGTTCGGGAGCCCTGGCGAGTCCCAGTGAGTCCCGGTGCTGGTTTGGGAGCCCTGAGACCTGGCGAGTCCCGGTGAGTCCCGGTGCCAGTCCGGGAACCCTGGCAAGTCCTGGTGCCAGTCCAGGAGCCCCAAGCCCTGGCGAGTCCTAGTGCCGGTCCGAGAGCCCCGAGCCCTGGTGAGTCCCAGTGCCAGTCCAGGAGTCCTGGCAAGTCCCGGTGAGTCCCAGTGCTGGTTTGGAAGCCCTGAGCCCTGGCGAGTCCTGGCAAGTCCCAGTGCCAGTCCAGCAGCCCCAAGCCCTGGTGAGTCCTGGTGAGTCCCGGTGCCAGTCTGGGAGCCCCGAACCCTGGTGAGTCCCAGTGCCAGTCCAGGAGCCCCTAACTCTGGTGAGTCCTGGTGAGTCCCGGTGCTGAGCCCTGACGAGTCCCGGTGAGTCCCGGTGCCGGTCCGGCAGCCCCGAGCCCTGGTGAGTCCCAGTGAGTCCCAGTGCCAGTCTGGGAGCCCCAAGCCCTGGTGAGTCCCTGTGAGTCCCGGTGCCAGTCTGGGAGCCCTGAGCCCTGGTGAGTCCTGGTGCTGAGCCCTGGCGAGTCCCGGTGCCGGTACAGGAGCCCCAAGTCTTGCTGAGTCACGGTGAATCCCAGTGCCAGTCCAGGAGCCCCTAACTCTGGTGAGTCCCGGTGCCGGTCCGGCAGCCCTGAGCCCTGGTGAGTCCCGCTGAGTCCCGGTGCCGAGTCCCAGTGAGTCCCGGTGCTGGTTTGGAAGCCCTGAGCCCTGGCGAGTCCTGGCAAGTCCCGGTGCTGAGTCCTGATGCCAGTCCAGGACCCCCAAGCCCTGGTGAGTCCCGGTGCCGGTCCAGGAGCCCTGAGACCTGGTGAGTCCCAGTGAGTCCCAGTGCTGGTCTGGGAGCCCCGAGCCCTGGCGAGTCCCGGTGCCGGTACTGGGCACTCTCAGAGCTGTAGGGCCAACACCCTCCTTTGGGAGTCCCGCTGATGCTCCGGGAACGTTGGGCTAGTCCCGAGACAGGTTCAGGAGCCCCAGACTCACAGCAAGGCCGGGTGCCTGGCCAGGAGCCCAGAGGCCACGCTAGCCCCATCGCTGATCCGGGAGCCCAGAGGCATGGCCAGCCCCGGTGCCGATCTGGAAGCCCTGCACACAACTAGTCCCTGTGCTGGTCCAAGAGTCCTGGTGCTGCTCTGGCAGCCCCGGTGATGGTCCAAGGATGCCAAGGAGCGATGACCTCTGGTGCCATCTTGGCCAGCCTCATGCAGGGTGGGCTACCAGGAGCCACAGCTGAGCCCAGGCTGTGCAGGTGGGTCCCCCATGGCCCCAGAGGCAGCCACAGTCCCCAGAGAACACCCTGCTCCGTGGCCAGCCCCACACAACGTCCCCATTGACCTCGTTTATGTCATTGGAGGTCCCCATGGGGATGCAACCTGGAGCCAGTGTGTCTGGTCATGAGTAGGGTGTTGGGGGGGCCACTGGAGGGAACCCCTCTTCCCCCTGCAAGCCTGCCTGAGCGTGGCTCATCTGCCCCAAATACCAGCTCCAGGAAAGCTGCTTCTGCTGGGGCTTCTGGCTTGGCAAACCACAGAATGGTTTGGGTGGGAAGGGACCTTTAAAGCCCATCTAGTCCCACCCCCCTGTCACGAGCAGGAGTATCTTCAGCTAGCCCAGGTTGCTCAGAGCTCCATCCAACCTGACCTGAAAAGTTTCCAGGGACTGGCCATCTCCTACCTCCCTGGGCAACCTGGGCCAGTGTTTCACCACCGATGGCACAGGAAGCTCTTGCTGTTGCGTAGCATTTCCCCAGTCATAACCCTCATCCTCTCCCCACTTTGCTCTCCAAGCTGGGATCAGGTTCAGCTGGGGGGGCAGGCAGGGCTCAGGTGCACCTCTTCATCCATGATTTAATGGAAGGCTGTCCTCCCAAAGTTCTCTGCTCCACCCCCAGGCCCAGGTGAAACATTTCAGCGTTGGCCGACTCCAGCAGGGACACGGCAGGTGGTTGCCCACCGGCACATTTTGACTGTTATTTTTAAAATCTTGATTTTGTAACAGGAACTTCGCAAAGGAAACGTGGTGTATGGCAAACTCCGGGGCTGGGTGAGCTGCGGTTTGTGACGGCACCTCCATTTCCAACGGGCTGCTTCTAGTCCTCGCTTCGGTTTTCATTCGTCACGCGGGTCGAAGCCTTCTTCGCCGTGGTGGGGAGGACCCACAGACCCAACCCTCCCCGTTCCCACAACCAAAGCAAGCGGGTGTGATGGAGGGGAAGGTGTTTTAGAAGACTCCCAGACTAACCCTCCACGCAAGTCTCAGTCCCCAACACCCATCCCAGGACCTCTTTAAAACCCCATCATTCCCATCTGATGGTGGGAACGACCCTGTTGGCTTTCTGAGGGCTGGATGGGACCCTGCCACCTTCTTCGCCGTGGTGGGGAGGACCCACAGACCCAACCCTCCCCGTTCCCACAACCAAAGCAAGCGGGTGTGATGGAGGGGAAGGTGTTTTAGAAGACTCCCAGACTAACCCTCCACGCAAGTCTCAGTCCCCAACACCCATCCCAGGACCTCTTTAAAACCCCATCATTCCCATCTGATGGTGGGAACGACCCTGTTGGCTTCCCGAGGGCTGGATGGGACCTTGCCACGTTCAGCCCCTCTGTGGTATCCACAAAAAATCAGGTTGAAAAGTGGAGTCGAGGCCAAATCCTGTCCCGGTCCATCCAAGCAGCTTACAGAGGCTGCGGTCTGCTCATCTGGAGACCTTTTCCCAGCAGAAGGCACCCCGTAGGGTGGTTGCTCCAAGGCTTTTCCCAGCCTCCCACTCCTTTCTGGTGTCTCATGTCACAGCTCAGGAAGGGGTTTTGGCATCTTCTGGAGCTCGTTTTCCTGGCAGCTAATGGAACCTTAAATATCCTTCTGGGGCTTCAGGCTTCTCAAGTGACAGTTGCCTCTGATGGGATATTTTTGCAATAGTAGGAAAATTGCTGGGCTTTTTTTTTTTTTTTTTATTATTCTCCCCCTTCTGAGCTCAAAACCAGGAATGTGCCACATGGTACAATCTGTCCGTTTCTTGGGAAGTGTTTGTTGTCTTCCTTTTGCTTCCATGTTTATCTCGGGTGTCTTGCCTCTAACAAGGACCATATGTCCTCCAAGGGTCATTGGCATTGCCTTCCCTAAGAGAAGATTTCCAGGGTTGGCCCATTTGGAGAAAAAAAACCCTCTGGGCTCGTAGGAAAGTTGAATGGATTTCATATAAACCCTGCAGCCAAGAGGACTCAAGCTGTGGAGTTTGCTGCCTGGGGTTGGGGAGGGTGTTGGGATCCTGGTGGCTTTTCAAGGACAGCTTCGACACCACGGGCAGGGAGGAGACCATCCTTCCTGTGCGTGGAGGGATGGATTGTACGGATTTCAACCCTTTTAGACCAAAAACCTGCCTGACTTGTGTTTTGCAAAGCCAGGCATCATTTCTCTTCCAAAGCTTTCCCATCCTCATCCCTTATATCATGCTCCAGCATCCTCACTTACCCCTCCCCATCCCGAAAAACGCGGGGCTGAGCACCGAGGTGGCAGGTCCATGTTTCGATGCCTTGGCTCGTCGTCCTGTGCGAGCACCTTTTCATCTTATTAAAAGAATAAATGAAACCACAGGTTGTCTCTTTACGGCCCCCCCAGGCCCTGGCTGGGGTGTCTGGCAGCCCTGGCGCTGCTGCCTGCCCAGGCACGTGCCCTTCCTCCTTCCAGAACGGCTGAAAAATGCAGGCAGACAATAAAAAAATAAAAAAAAAAGTAAAAAAATAAAAAAGAACTAAACAATTTGCTGGGAAATGAGCTCCTGTGAAGTTGTGCCTGGATTATATGAGCGGAAAAAGAAACCCTCCCTGACTGTGCTCTGTTTTTGCCCAGGAAAGGAGCTGGGTGGGGGGACTGGGTGATGCTGGTGACACCATGAGCGTGTGGGACCAGCGCTCCAGGAAGCAGAAGGTGGCTCTTTATTGCCTCCATTAAGCATTAGGTCCATCCCTTGGGGGCTGGCTGGCACGGGAGCACCCAGGGGATGGCGGGGAATGACTGAGCAGTGCCGGGAGCCTGGGAGGAGGATGCCACCGGGGAGGGCTCGAACAGCAGCTCCCACCCCCTCACCATCTTGTTGGAGAGCCCCAAACCTCTAGGCCATGTTGATTCCCATTGAGCCACATTGACAACCAAACCGCACGTTGTGGGGACTTTTTTTTAAATTTTCGTTTTTATTTTATATATGTTTTCCTTTTTATTTTAGTTATTTTTCTCCAATAGGGAATTAAAAAAGTGGGTTGCCCAAGGTGGGCGACTTGGGGTGGACGGTGGTGGCCCTCTCCTCGCAGCGGCCTCCCAGCTCCTCCTGGCTGGGGACGTGCTGCCATCTCTGGAGAGGATGGAGATACGGCAGTCCTGGGGACCCAGGAAAACATCTGAGGAGTGATTTATCTGCCGGGGGGGTGGCCTGGCGTCCAGCCTCAAGTGCAAACCTCCTCGGCTCGCCCGGAGGCACCGGTGGCCAGCTGGAGCCTCCAAGTCTGTTCCCAGAGCAGATAGGACACCAGTAAGGGCAGAACGCCGATTAAAAGCTCTACCAGGAGCCAGATGAGCACGTCAAGGTCACCAGCCAGGGATTGGGGACAATGCAGGGACAGGGGGGTCACCCTGGCAGCCTGCAAGCCCCTTGCTGTGCTCTGTGGTTCCATGATTTCTTTCCCCTGATGATAAACTCATGGACACCGTGGTGTGTGCATCATCTCAGGGCTTGGATGGAGTCTGTATTCGTGCACCTTAATGAAAAAACTGTTTTGTTTTGTTTTGGTTTTTTAATTTAATTGCTACTTTCCAGGGAGCACTTCTCTTGCCCAGAGAAGCTGTGGCTGCCCCATCCCTGGAGGGGTTCAAGACCAGGCTGGATGGGATTTTGTGCAACCTGGTCTGGTGGGAGGTGTCCCTGCCCAGAGCAGGGGCTTGGAACTGGATGGTCTTCAAGGTCCCTTCCAACTTCAACCATTCTATGGTTGCCCTGGGCTCCAAATACACATATAGTGGAGCAGGGACCTCTCCTGGGATGTTCTTCAGGTGGGATCATGGGCAGATGGTGGCCTGTCCCAGCCTGGGCACATACCGAGCACCTACAACTCGCATTGTTCCACGTTCCCTGGTCCGTCTGTCCCCAGCAGTGCTCCTCCATAGGGTGGAGGAGATCCCAGCCCAGGAGGAGGACAACAACAAGAGTTTGCAGAGGCGTTATCATCTCACCTGGCCTTCATCTCGCCGCGGGGAAACAGGTCCGGCGAAAGCTGGAGAGCAGGCTGGGTGCTGTTGACTCTGCAGTCCCACGTGAGCCATCTCCAAGTCAATAACACGCCAGGAACATGAAACCGATAACACAGACCAACCCTCTGCTCATTTCTTTCTCCTTAGAAAACCCCAACGGAGAGGCTCTCAGCTTGCAGGGGCCCCCCAAATCCATCCTCAAAGCTGGGTCTGGCTTTTCCTCCAGCCAGGAGAAAGCCAAACAGCCAGAGCCAACCCAACCAGGTCACCTCCAAAAAGCCCCCAGATAGGTTTTGCGTGAGTTTCTTCCTTCAAAAACAGAATCCATTCGACACCAAGAGTAAATAATGGCCTGGGAAACGGCAGGAACACAACTACACCTTGCACCAGAGGGAGAGAAGCATTTCCCCTGTCTCCACCAAGGACACTGAGCAGATGGGGACTTTGGTCATGGTAATTTTTTTGGCTTAAATGGTCACTTGAGGCAGATATTAAATCCGGTTAATACGTGTGGTTGAGGGGAAATGGACCTTTCATTAAAATGATGGTTTGCTTGCGTGCTTGCACCATGAGGTTGTACCTCCCGGCCTCTGTGTTCTCTCAATTACTGCTCTTATTAGGGCTCGGGGTCGTCATAAATACCAAATTAAAATAATTACAGCAGGACAGGTAGCCATGTGAGTAACACAAATACAACATTAGCGCTGGGAGGAATCAATTTGCCAATGAAGAGCAAACCAGGGTGGAGAAACCACAGCCCCGTTTGGGGGATACAGGGTCAGGGGAGGGATGATGATGGGACGATGGGGGTCAAAGGAAGGGATTATGGGGGTCCCAGGGAGGGATTATGGGGGTCCCAGGGAGGAATGACGGGTGTCCTGGGATGGGACCTCATCTGCCCTCTGGCTCCTGAGTGCAGCACCAGATTTTCTGAGTCTCCACACCCCCAAAGGCTCCTTCCCACCCCCCTCATCCATGCTGGGGACACCCCAAACCAGCCCCAACTCCTCCCCCTCGGCGTGGAAGGGCATCACACATGGGATGAGGCGATGGAGCAGGGCTCTGAACCACTTTTATTTGACTGGGGGGGACACCACCCCCCGTCCCTGTCCTCCCTGTGTGTCCCCACTGCCCTGAAACCACACGCCAAAACCCTCCTTTTCCTGGAGCCGGGCGCTCCCCAAACCTTCCACAAAGTGCTGCTGCTCGGAAATATTCACAGGTAGCCTGGACACCCCCCATCCCGGGGTTCCTCAGCCCGGGGAGGTGACAGAAACACTTCACGTCCCCACCAGACGCCATCCCCTCCTGTGACAGCCCCGTGCTGCCCCGGGATGCTCCGGGATGAGGGTGCGGGGCTGAAGGCTCGCTCCTCATCCTCACCAGCAGCCGCCGGCTTCTGCAAGAGCCAGGTTCTCAGGGGATCCCCAGCTGGGGGGTGTCTGTCCTGCGCCAGCCCAGGGGACAGAATTGTTCTTCCCCCCCTGGGCCGGGCCCTTTTAAGGTGGGTTTTCGGGAATGCAGCCTCCGGCAAACCCTGCGGACGAACATGCGGAAGACGGAGGTGCGGAAGATGATGAAGACCCAGGGGTCGATGATGGAGTTGACGGAGAGGAAGCGCAGGGCCCTGAGGTCATCGTCCTCGTTGATATCCTCGGCAAAGGCCCCCATGTAGGCTCGGATCTGTCAAAAAAAAAAACACCACAAAACAAAAAACCAAGGAAATTGGGAAAAATGAAGAAACATCTCATCACAGGGGTAAAACCAAGAGCAACGAGATTCCCGGTGGGGGCAGCAAAAGAAGTTTTAACCCCTCAATATCCTTACACATCGAATGAGCACGTGATGGGGGTTGCAGACCCTGAAACTGGAAGTTAGGGCTGGTGGTGGCACCTGGACACCACGTCCCCATCAGGGTCAGGAGGTCAGAGCTGAAGGTGGGGTCCCAGGAACTGGGAGTTTGGTGGGATAAAGGGATAATTTGACCTCCGTGGGCTGCAGCAGAGGTTGATGCTCTGTCCCCAAGGTTGGGGCACCCCAATTTGGTGTGTCCCCTCCCAGCCATGATGGGTATTGGACCAGGCACCCGTTGGATAACTCAGCTGGACCACAGCCAGATGGTGGCCCTCGCAGGGTCAAAGTCCTTCCTCCACCTCCAGGTCCAGCCTGAAGCCCTGCTCGTTTGAGGACCACAGGGTTTTCACTGGGGTTATTACAAAACCAGTATAAGCCCAGTCGTGGTGGGGGCTGCTGGTGGCTGGTGTGTCACGATATGGTTCCAGAGCATGACAGAGGGGACAGAAAGACCCCCCCACCCTGTTTTTGGGGTAGCCCCCTTTCCTGACAGTGGGTTACAGCAAGGCTGCAGGATCTGGGGACATGGGGCACTGAGGGGGGGAAACAAGGGCTCTGTTGTGGTGGGGGGTCCCCCATCTCCACCCCACCAGTGGGACCCCCATCCCTGGGGAGGATTTCAGGGAGTATTTCCCCCATTTTGGGAAATGCAGTGTGGTTCAAAGGGATCTAGGTCTTTTTGGCACCTCCAGGATGGGGGGGGTGGGTGGGAGTGGGGGGGTTATGAAGAGGTCTAACGTAATGACCCAACCTGTCAGGGAATAGATGCTGCGGGGGGAGTTATTTCAAGGAGCTAAAGAAATGGACTGACACCACCCCCCCAAAAACACCCCCAACACCTCTGGGGCAACCCCAGAGGAATGGGGTGGTGGTGATGGGGGGGGTGGGATGTTATTCCAATGGGGCTAAAGCAAAGCTCAGACCTCTGGGATGGGGTGGGGGATACTCAGAAGGGGCCACAGTAATTATCTGACCACCCCCACCCCCCCTCAAGCACCCCCGGGACAGAGTGGTGATGATGGGAGGTTATTCCCTGGGGATTAAAGCAATGAATTAACCCAAGATGGTGCTGGTGGTGGGTATTCTGGGGGGGGGAGGGGGCAACGCAATTACCCGACCCCCCCCTGGGACAGGGTGGTGGTGATGGTGGGGGTGGGGGGAGTATTCTGAGGAGGTTTATGCAATGAACCAACCCCTGGGACAGGGGGGGTGGTGGTGTGGGATTATTTCAGCGTGGTTAAAATAATTAATTACT